TGGGAGCAAAAATTAATATAAGACACTGTCTTATTTTCAGGGAAACAGGGTATTAGTGAGACAATGATCAGTTTCTGGCAGGAGTCCTGTTAATTACAGAACTGTCAGATTCTTTCAGACTTTTTGCCTGAAAGTAAGGTGACCAGATGTCCTGCTTTTGGCGGGACAGTCCCGATTTGTAACAATTTGTCCCACGTCCCTTGGCGTTTTAAAAAAAGTCCTAATTTTTGGAAAGATTCTTATTTAATAGTCATACTTTGGAAGTTCTAATTTAGACTGAATAAGTTAGGATATAGCATTCCCTCCCCATTTAAAGGTGTTGGGTGTGCCGAAGCCGGTTTGGCTCAGTGGTAGAGCGTCGGCCTGCGGACTGAAGGGTCCCGGGTTCGATTCCGGTCAGGGGCATGTACGTTGGTTGCGGGCGCATCCCCGGTAGGGGGTGTGCAGGAGGCAGCTGGTCGATGCTTCTCTCTCATCGACATTTCTAACTCTATCCCTCTCTCTTCCTCTCTGTAAAAAATCAATAAAATATATTTAAAATAAATAAATAAATTAAATAAAATAAAAAAATAAAGGTGTTGGGTGTGATGGGATGGAAGATACTCCTTGTACATTTTTGCAGTGGGTTTTGGGCTGAGCTCTGCATATTCATTTAGTGCAGTTTGTATGTACTAGATGGATCTAATCTAGAGAAGGGCACTTAATACTGATTGGCTGATATTCTGGAGCTCTTAACACTCCTCTTGGATTAAATAAAATGTCATATTCTTGTGCCATTACCGTCACCAAGCTTTCTAAACAAAGTTTACATGAATAAGGAAAGGAAGGCTCCATTCTGAGCATGTTCAGTCACATTTGGGGAAGGGCGTAAGTCTAGATACTTTCACCTCTACCACTTCTTATAAAACATTGCATCTTTTTGCAGGAAACATGTTTTGAGTATGCTGGCTGACATTCTGTTAATATGGTATAGTTGACAACTATAGTATAATCTAACATAATATTATGATGAGTAATAATATTCTTCTAGTCTGTCTTATTCCTAAATGTGTTCCAGTGCATTGAGTCAATGTTTTATAATTTTTAAATCATTCGATAGGTATTTCATTTGCTTCCAATTAAGTATTGGATATTTTTCTGAGAATAAATAAATCTATTTTTATTCATTGAATCTGAAGAAAGAGAAGGAAATATTTACCTCATAATGTTACGGTGTCCCTGAACTTTGATTCCTTTGATTACAGAGTCAACAATCTACATATTCATTCAATCATGAAAATAATGATTGTCCTCTGATTTTTTTCTGATTATTGGCCTCTGTTAGCTTAGCACAGTAAATGGAATTCTTCCTGTTCTTACCAAATATATACATATACACACAGGATGGGGCAAAAGTAGGTTCACAGTTGTATGTGAAATAGTTTACTTTTGTATTATTATTTACTTATTATTGTGTTATTTCCATGTGAACAACTGTAGACCTACTTTTGCCTCATCCTGTATGTGTACTTTGTAAAGTGCAGTGCTAATTACATTTACCACTTTTTTTTTTTATGGTTGGCTTTGGTGTGCTTTTGTACTTTGACTTAAATGCTTTTGTCTTATAGTCAGAAAATTAGGAGCATTTTAAGAGGTACAGTGTTACTGTGTAGAAAATGATATTCAAAACTTCCTCCTGTAACTCCACTGTCCTCTTTCAAGCTTCTTCTTACATCCCACTGTCATGGATAGGCATAGGACTTCTTAGCCTGCAGTGAACTGCCAGTACAAAGCAAAACAGATCTGGTGGAGGAGAGCATGGTGGGGGGGGGGGGGGGGGGGAAACATTTGTAATAATATGAACAATAAAAACTTATTAAAAAAAAAAAAAAAAAAGCAAACAGGCTCATCTCCGATTGCTAGTTCAGACATTCTCCAGTGGGACTGGAATTTATAATTTCCTTTAAAAGGCCATCTCTTCCATTTTCAGTCTGTGCAAGGTTCTGTATATTCAGTGATAAACAAAACAGGTATAGTTCCCATCCTTATTAACATTGAGTGGAGCTAGGGGAGGTGGGGTTTCTGTTCAGTCATTAATTATTTCTACTTCTGAAACATGCAGTAAGTTTATGAGCAAGATGTCTGGATGTCGGGCTTTCCACTGGAAAAGGGACATTTTAAAGCCAGCCTTTTGGACTGCTAGTCAAAAGCTACCACCTCGCTCTGTAGCCACTGCTCCTGGCACATCCTGCATGACTCCTGGCTCCCAACACTGGAAAGTACTTCATTTTAAGGAAGTCCTTAAATTGAAGAATTTATTTTCTATAAGTCCGTTTTACTATAAATGTATATTAACTTGTAAACTTCCTAGTATATCTAACCTAAGGTCTAATATTAGTCAAATTTTCATTTTAGCAAGGCTTTTTAAAAAATATATATTTTATTGATTTTTTTTACAGAGAGAAAGGGAGAGGGATAGAAAGTTAGAAACATCAATGAGAGAGAAACATCAATCAGTTGCCTGCTGCATACCCCCCATTGGGGATGTGCCCACAATCAAGGTATATGCCCTTGACGGAATCGAACCTGGGACCTTTCAGTCCGCAGGCCGACACTCTATCCACTGAGCCCAACTGGTTTCAGCTTAGCTAGGCTTTTATTAGAGGAATATGCCCCCTCTGAATTTGATCTTTCAAGTTATCAAGCTTATCCTATCTAATAAAAGAGTAATATGCAAATTAACCATCACTCTGCTATATTCATAAGGCATGCCCATAAATCATGCCCATAAGCTAATCAGAAGCGAATATGCAAATAAACCCAACCAAGATGGCTACAGCCACAGAGAGCAGGAGGGAGGCTTGGGTTTCCCAGGCAATGGAGGAAGCTAAGCTTTCTGCCTGCCCTGGCCAGCCTAGGCCTCCACTCAAGGCTACAAAGTTTCAATTATAGGAGATAAATAAACCCCAACAGAAATGGCTACTGCCACAGAGAAAGCAGAAGGCTTAGCTACACTCCAGGCTACAAAATGTCAATTGTAGAAGATAAATAAACCCCAGATACCACGGCCTCCACTTGGGTCCCCAGGGGGCATGGCCGGCATGTAAACCACCACAGGCCCCTCGCCCAGACTGCCTCACAACCCAAGGGAACCCCCACCCTGATCCAGGACAGCCTTCAGGACATACCAGCCGACTCCCACCCATGCACCAGGCCTCGATCCTATCTAATAGAGTAAGATGCAGATTGACCATCACTCCAACACACAAGATAGCTTTCCCATGTGGACACAAGATGGCCAGCAGGGGAGGGCAGTTGAGAGGAACTAGGTCTGCAGGAGAGGGCATTTAGGGGTCACCAGGCCAGCAGAGGAGGGAAGTTGGTGGTGACCAGGCCTGCAGGGAAGGGCAGTTGCGGGGGACCCAGGCCTGCAGTGGAGAGCAGTTGAGGGGGGGACCAGGCCTGCTGGAAAGGGCAGCTATAGGTGACCAGGCCTCCAGGATACAGCATTTAGATGTAATCAGGTCTGCAGGAGATGGCAGTTAGGGGCTAACAGGCTGGCAGGCAGAAGCAGTTAGGGGCAATCAAGAACACAGGCAGGTGAGCTGTTGGGAGCCAGCAGTCCTAGGCTTAGGCCCAGTGTGATCGGGCCTAAAAGGGCAGTCGGACATCCCTTCAGAGGTCCTAGATTGGAGAGGGTGCAGGCTGGGCTGAGGGACACCACCACTACCCTAGCCCTCTCCCCCTACCAGGCATCTAGTTTCTTATATTTTTCTGAAATTACTAAATTGATTTTAATTTCTCAGATGAATTTATCATAGCTGCCATTTTACTTATATTTAGAAGATGTCTTAGCAAAGCTAGCTGATTTTTTTTCATGACTTTTTTAGTCAGAGTGCAAAGATTACACATGTACAGTTTAACCTTTATTCCCTTCTCAGCTCAGATGTTATCTTGAAGAGTTTCTTTCTTACTATAGACATGCTTATGTTTATCCATGCTAATTTAAAAGTTCTCCTGAAAGAAACAATGGAGAGAGCATCAAGGAGCCAGGCTACATTGTGTTTCCAGTATTGTGAAATGCTCTTGAAAATTCATACAGTTTCTAGGTTTTTCTTTTTTCAAGCTGAGCTCTAAGATTTTCCTTACAGGAGGCTTGTTCTTACTTATAAAGTGTTTTCATTTTTAATTAAGATTATTTTCCTTCTTAAAATTTCTGTGGATGTTAGTGTTTTAAGTCTTGATTTTGCCACATTAATTAAATAATAAAAATACCCAATCAAAAATTTAAAGGGAAGTATTATACGGTTACCAGTTCTTGTGCCTTTTGTGCAGACTCTGCCTTCTCTTGGCCTACTTGAGACTCATGTGCAGGCAATAGATTGAAGCATATATGATTGGCCATCTCAGGAAATACACTATTTTGTAATTGCCGCACTTACTCCCCCCAACACACACATACACATACCCTTTTTTTGAACATCTGCTGATAGCACAGAACTATGCTGAACACAGTTCTTTTCTTTAACTGTCATTCTTTTTCCGTTATGAGAACTGAGTTACCATCAAGGTGGCATTAACAGAAGGAAGGTATCAAGTATCTTTGTGTGTGTTATATGCTATATAAATTCATTTCAGTAGAATGATCACTGCTCACCAAGAATGCACAGTCCCAAAGGAAGTATACTACAAGGGCCCTAAACTTAAAGAAGGTAAACATGCATAGAACTCAGTAAGATTTTCAGAGATTATCATTGCGGTTTCCTAATATTGTTATTGTAATACATGGTACTTTTTTCCACACTTAAATCAGCTACTTCATATTAAAACTGCTTTTACTAAACTGCTTTTAGAGATTTTTCTAACAGTTTAAGTTTTGATAATAAATTTGCTAATATTAATATGCATGCTGGGTTGTTCTTCGGAATGTCAGAGTTCTTTCTCACTTTTAATGCAATGTCAAATTTTATTTCTCATCTTTCCTGCTGGTTTGACTCGTGTTTGTGCTTTCCACTTTACAGGCATGCAGTATGGTGAATATGTTAATAATCAAGCTAGCTCCGCACCAACTCCCTTGTCATCAACTTCCGATGATGAGGAAGAGGAGGAGGAGGATGAGGAAGCAGGTCTGCTTTAGCTTTACACAAGTTCTTAATCTTTTCTTACTCAAGTTCTTCTTTTTCTACTACTTCCCTTTTTTTTTTTTTTTTTTTTTTTTAAATGTCCACAGTCTTATAGTCTCTTTAAAAATATCTTTGCAGATTTAGCTCAATGAACTTACTTGGTTTAGGTTATAGAAGATTGGGCTCACTTAAAATTAGGTGTTTTTGCTTATTTATTTGTTTTGTTTTGTTTTTCTGCCTTTGGACATCTTTACCATTCCATTAAGTAACAATACATCGTTCATGATGACAGTGGTTTTTTTCTTTCAGAAATGCATTTCCGCTCAGGTCATGCAAAAGGATTGAGTATTGATTGAAACTTTCGACTGTTTGTTCTAGCACCCCAATTGGAGGAATTTTTATTTTTTGCTTTGCATGCTACTTAGTCTAAGCAGAATAAATCATTTGGATTTTATATAACAATGACAGAGAAGTAGAAGTAAGCTCCTTTTGGCACTTACTATATGTTTAGAAAGCCAAAAATTTGTAGTTACTTGATTGTTTGCAAATAAACTCTATATATGGTGGCTGTAGCTGGAAGTTCCATCTGTAAAGTGAGAGGGGGCAGAGAATTGGGGCTAAATTGAAGGAAGTTGATACCAGTGTTAGAGTTCAAAAAGTTCAAATAGAAATGGTATTAAAATGGTGATTGGATGTCTGGCTTAGCCTTAAATCTAATTAACTAAAATATCAAACATTTGCAGTTGTTTTATTGTTTCTAGCCTGCTGCAGATATGTGGTATTTAATCAATAATCTGGATTATAGATTTTCTTAAATACCAGTAAACTAACAGTATAATAAGTGCCAGTTATCTCATTTCTCTGTAAAAGTACCCTGAGTTCTGTACAACTAATTTATAGCCTATTTGTAACCTTATTAAAATCTATAGAGTCCATTTGTAACCTTATTAAAAATGCAATAAGCTCACAGTATAGTTTGGGATATAGAACAAAATTACAGAGAGTTCTATGTTTTCATAGTGCTTTATAGGAATATGTAGGATAATCTGGAACCAGGTGTAGAGTTGGATGACAGGGAAGATTAGGACTGGTACCTGAGCTGAGTCTAAAAGGAGAAGTTGGAATTAGGCAGGTGAGGGATCCGGGGAGAGGCACAGATACTTTTTAAAACAAAGTAAGGAGCTTTTGAGAAGATGGTATATGGGGCAACTTTAGTGAATCTGGGACCTATGGCCTGCAAAGGACCATGGCCAGAAGATTTGAATGAGGTTGGGTAGGATGACTGGATGAGATCTTGGAAAATCTGGCCCAGCAGATCCTCGAATAACATCATTTTAGTATAAAGTTAGTGAGACACTGCAAGAACTTTAATCTTGTTTATGTTGATTAGCATATGGTCAAGTTGACTTAATTATATATCACTTAACTTACACAGAAGCTATAGTTGATGCTAAGTGAGGACTTACTGTATTTCTTATTTAAGTGTTTGTATTTTATTTTGAAGGTAATGAGGAGTCACTGAGGCAGTTTACATGGAAAAATAACAGCCATATTTGCACTTTAGAAAAATCTCTTACAAAAATATTCATAGGAGCATATTGAAACTAGCCTCTTAGAATACTCGGGTGAGGAAAATGAGTTCTGAGGCTAAGGTCGCAAGAAGATCGAAGGAGAATATAGCAGAGCATTATCAAATGAAAAAATCATTTTTACAAATCAAAAGTAATTTGGTTAGCAGTGGTAAATGTTAAGGAATGTTTGGTTGAAGTCTGAGAAAAAACAGTTGGCTTTATCAATCAGCGTTCCTGTCTTGTTTTTCCACCCACCCCCACCCCCAACCCTATTTGTAACACTCGTTTGAGGGGATGGAGGAGGGAGGAGAAAGACTGAAGAACATTTTCTAAGTCTGGTTAATATTTGCTTAATATTAACAGTAGTCCTGTGGAGTAGGTTTTAGTTTAAAATCCATTGTTACAATTAAGAAGTGGCTCAGAGATGTTAGGTATCTTATCCAGTTTCTTTCAACTGATAAGCAAGATGGAATTTGACTTACATTTTTTCTATGATTTATGCAAGTTATGAAGAAATAAAATTTCAAGTTATCTTGATTAATTTAAAGTTGACCAATACTAGTAAATACATTGGACTTCCTTGACCCATGTTGCTTATCTTTTAAAGGCTTAAATGCATCCCCATACTTTTCCCCCACCTTCAAGGATTCTGAGCTGTTCTTATGATCTATTCTCCCTTTGCTTCCTCAGATTTCAGCTTTTCCTTTCTTCCTCCTCCTCTTCTTTCAGTGTATGACATGTAGCCAGTAAAAGAAGAAGGGAAAATTCTCCCTAAGTACTACATTCAAATAGTGATAACAAATACTGATTTGTTCTCAGAGTACTTATCACTAATTGTAGTGGGAAATAACTGAGGTAAATTGGGCCTATGTAAGGTTTAAGAGTGGGAAAAAGTACTAATGCTCTTAGTTCAACTGAAACCAGCTGGTATTTTGCTTGATGTAATGATTCCAAAGATCAGTACTCCTATATTCTATATTCTAAGAGTTTTATAGTTTTAGTAGCCTACGTTTTGGTCTGATCCACTTTTAGTCCATTTTAGTTTAGAGTATAAAGAAAGAGTCTAACTTTACTAGTATTCCTCTGCCTGTGACTATCTAGTTGTTCCAGCATTATTTATTGAAAAGAATGTTCTTTTCCCATAGAAATATCTTGGCATATTGTTTTGTTTTGAGGTGAAATTTACACAATAATAAAATTAATCATTTTAAAGTATTCAATTCAGTGCCATTTAGTACATTCACAATGTTGTACAACCACCATCTCCATCTAATTGTATCATTTTGGTTTTTGTGCAACCACCACTTCTATCAGTTCTAATTTTGTGAATGTACTAACTAAACATTACATTATCTCAAAAGAAAACTGTGTAACCATTAAGCAACAACTTCCCATTTCCCCCTCCTCTCAGCTCTTAGAAACTACCAATCTACTTTCTAACCCTATAGATTTACCTGTTCTGCATATTTCATATAAATGAAACAATGCAACATGTGACCTGTTCTATCTTGCTTGTTTCACTTAGCATGTTTCAGGAATTATTCATATTGTAGCATGTGTTTGTACTGTATTCCTTTTTTATAGAAAAACTAGTAGATAAATAATATTCCATTGAATAGAGATGCCATATTTTGTTTATCCATTCATCTGCTGATGAATATTTGAGTTTTGATGTATCACTTTTAGACTTTGACCTTATATCTCAGCATTCTTTTTTAGTTATAAATTCACAAATAAAAGAAGATCCATTGCTAATGACATATGTTACACCATTTTTCTAATTATTACAAAGAAAGCACTTTGTGTTTCCCACTTATTTTTTTTGTAGTCCTCATACTTTGCATAAGTTTTTTCATGTTTAGTGTATCATTTAAGCCTCACAAGAAATTAAAAAAGACATACAAGGCATTTTTTAAATTGTTCTCATTTTGTAGAAGAGGGTATTGATGAATGTTGTTTACCCAAAGTTATATAACAAGTAAATGATAGAGTCTAATGTAACTGCAGTCTTTTGCTCCAAATCATGTTCTTTGCTGGTAATGAAATCGGTCTGTCCAAAAAATTTTAGCTGTTATGCCATTAGTCAACATACTTAGTCACATGGTTTTCCAAAAGTAGTCAATGAAAGATAATTATGCATGCTAGTTCTTTTTATATCACAGTTAAAAATTAACCTAAAATGTAGTTTAAACTCCATCTATAATAATAAAAGCGTAATATGCTACTTAGATTGGACATCCTCCTGGAACCTTCCGGATGAAGCTGGGGCTGCAAGGGAAGCCCTGGTCCTGGTGGCGGAGGGCAGCGGGTACCGAAGCCTGTATCAGCAGCAGGGGAAGGAAGGCCTACTCCTGCACGAATTTCATGCATCGGGCCTCTCGTTTATAATATTGTTGTTAGGAGCTAGGATCACCTCTGTACCACAGAATCTTGTCTTAGGGTTAAAAAAAAAAAATCAAAATCTCTAACACGAGAGAGAGACTATGTGCATTTTTGGTTTTATTCATCACTGTATATGCTAGTATACTTACCTAGGATAGTTGTAGGCTCTCAGAATATTTGTTGAGTGAATAAATGAAGGAAATATATTGTACATCCTACTATCTGTGTGACTCATCATAAATTGCCACAGAAAATTTTACTAATCGTACAGGTTTTGAGTGAACACAATAAGATTTTTTTTTTTAATCCTCATCTGAGACATGCTTAGAGAGAGAGAAACATTGATCAGGTTGCCTTCCATATGTGCTCCTACTAGGGATCAAAAAGTCATTAACATTTAATTATCTTGAAGAACCCTAATACTGATAATATATATTAAGTAGTTTGCAGTTTGATAGATGCAGTTTTTGAGATATAATTGTATTAAAATTTCTATCAATCTAAAATTTATATTTGTGTGTGAAGTAATTTAATATCTATTCTCTAGGATGTCATCACATGTGAATGATTAAATCTTATTCCACTCATCAGCTCCATAGTCTTCCTACTCTCATTCTCATCCTCTATTCTGTATCAGAAATTTATTTATGTGTTTTTAAAAATATCTTCAAACATCAGTCATTTTACATTTTCACTAGAGTCAGCAAAACATCTTCTATAAAATTGCCAAAGGTTGCCCTAAGATACCTTATCATTTTAGACTCAGTAGACATTTTGGCTTTCCTTTTAGGTATTGACAGCTCTTCTACCACAAGCAGTGCTTCTCCACTACCCAACAGTTATGATGCCCTAGAAGGAGGCGGCTACCCAGGTAATTTGTGCCTGTTTAATGGTTGCTTGAAAAGTCACTGATCATTAATTGCTTTCAAAACATGAACATGTATTATACATAATTAGCAGGGTATATATATATATATATATATATATATATATATATATATATTTTTTTTTTTTTTTTTTTTTTTTTTTTTTTTTTTTACAGAAAAGGGGACATTTCCCTGGTGTTTCTCAGCCTTAATTTTATGGTATTAATTGTTATACTCTAACTATGAATGTTGTTTCTGGGCAGCTTAAGGAAATTTATTATTCTATTTTTGTTATGCTCTTTATCTTTTTCCTCCTCAAAGTCTTTTAATAGTGAATAATTTTTCTCTTCTTTTCCATTTTTTATGCTAATAACTCCTTAAATATATTTTATATTTCTGTTCTCATGCTTAGGTCCTTGAATTCCTTCCAACTAGCCTCTGAATATAAGTAGTCTTTGACTCTTTACTCCCCCTATGGCTCCTGGCTGCCTCCACCAGGTAAATAGATTAACCAACTTGGATGTAGTTTTTGGAGGCATTACTTTTAACCATATCAGGAAATAACTTTGGTCATTACTTAGAAATCGGAGTAGTGGATAGTATTAAAGGAAAAACACATAAACTTAACCTTTTGTATTTAATAGTCATTTTTATTATAACATCTTGAACTGTGATTTTCCTGATTTGCCTATCTCCTATCACCTGACAACCACTCCTGACTTATCTCTTTTTCTCTCTCTCTTTCTGATGACTTCAAACTTTAGGACTAATAGAATAAATAATGTTGCCTTTCTCTTTATTTCTTATCACTCTGAGAATAATCAAGGAAAAATTGAAGTATTCTGTACTTAACTGAATGCACTATCTTGCTATCATTGTTCTTTGAATCAGAAAAGTTTAATCTTCTCAGCTTAATATAGAATTCTCTTTTAATATCTTAAGAATACTTAAATACCCTACTTTAGTCTTTTGTGGTTACAGATTTTTCTCACCTAGGAACCACTATTTGTGTGTATATGTGTAAGAAGTTGTAGATTCTAAAAGCAATCACTATCATCAAAATATTCTAGAAGTTACTTCATCGACTAAAAGATGAATAATCTATGCTGGCCGATGAGGCTCAGTGGTTGAGCATTAACCTATGAACCAGGAGGTCATGGTCAATTCCTGGTCAGGGCACATGCCCAGGTTGTGGGCTCGATCCCTGATAGGGGGCATGCAGAAGGCAGTTAATCACTGATTCTCTTTTATCATTGATGTTTCTATCTCTCCTTCTCTCTTTCTCTCTGACAGTAATAAAAATATATTAAAAAGAAAAGATGAACAATCTAACTGTATAGTATTTCATGAACTTCAGAGTAACCTGAAGTGAAATGTCCAGTGTGATATAGTTAAAAGATCATGGCTTTGGAATTAGACCTTGGTTTGTTTATAATCATTTATCAACAAATCTTAATCATATTATGAACTGTGCTTTGAGAGTAAGTGAGTGACCTATGGCAAGTTTTCTAGCTATTTATATAGCAACAAAATTAAAGTAAGACGTGAGCAACTGTAGCAGTAAGGTTAAGTGAATTGAAAGTTTACTATCAGATACTAGGATAGATTTTAGTACTATAGAAATGTATGAACTATTGTTAATTTCTTATAGAAGGGTATGAATTTTAGACTTCCATGTTTATGACTCCAGTTCTTTATTTCTTATGCTGATGTCATGTTAAGAGACCTTTCTACTTACAGTCCCAATGCCAAAAGGAGAGACAAGCAGGAAATTTAAGGATATGACATTGCATTGACTCTCCTGTCCTTTTAAGTAGTCTGGGATGTTACTAGAAAGCCAGTAAGCCAATCCTTACCTAATTAACACATGATGTTAGAGAGCAGAATGTCTAGGAATAATATATCTTCAAAATTAGAGCAAATGGAGTCAGTAGAAACATGTGACTCAAGAAACTTTTTAAAAATAAATTTCATTTAGTCAGTTGCTTTTGAGAATGTATTTTTTTCAGGGTCTGATTACTAGTGAAGAATATGTTTGTTAAAATGAAAAATAGATTCAAATATATCTATATTATAGATATGACTTGAAAAAACCTAACAGTCAATATACCAAATTGTTAATTATGGTTATGTGTAAGAGAATAAATGTTAAGGTTTCTTCTTGTTATTCTTGTATATGATTATTAAATTTTCTACTGTTTTCGTATTTTTAATCACATTTTAGTTTTAAATTTCAGTAAAGGAAGAACATTGCTTAATTAAATTCTATTGACATCTACTGCACACCAGACATTGTTTTAGGAGCTGGATGCTTATAGACACTCCTTTATATTTTCATAGTTTTTCCTCTACAAATAATACAGCTTTTTAGGGGATTATAGAAATAAGCAACTCTTCATGGACATATTTTATAGATGGCAGGGTCAGATAAAAAAGGGCAAATTAGAGTAAAGAGTAGTTGACACTCTTTTTAGTGCTTTGTTTTTTTGGGTTTTTTTCTGCTTTATAGCCCCATTCCTGAGGAAAGAATAAAAGAAAAAACTTTTTTTGTGTGTGGATAATAGTAAATATAAAGGCCTTATCTATTAAAAATATACCACCTGAATATCAAAGTATTTATTATCAAGTGATACCAAATGAGGTTATTTTAAAATATGTCTATATTAAAAAAAAAGATGGGGTGGGAACATATAAAGCAAGATTAGCAAAATATTGATGATTATTAAAACTGAATTATGAGTGTGTGGGGTTTATTAGTCTATTCTGTATTTTTGTGAATGTTCAAATTTCCCATAATAAAAAGTTAAAAGGCAATGCCAGAGGTTATGGCTCTCCCAAGAGCCAAGTCTTTATACAGTCATGTTTTCAAGTGTTAACACCTTGCGTTTCCCTTTGTTAGATATGCTTTCTTCATCAGCAAGCAGTCCTGCTCCTGATCCCGCTCCTGAACCTGACCCTACTCCAGCTCCAGTGCCCACTGCCCCTCACCCTTCAAAAGTGGCTAAACCATTTGGATACGGTTACCCCACTCTTCAGCCTGGTTATCAGAATGCTGCAGCACCACTGCATTCTGGAGGGCAGCCCGGCCCAGGGTATTCTGGATTCCAGCAGTATGCTCAAGTATGTATTTAGTCATAGGAAGACATTGCAAATCTAAGAATTGTGAAACTATCAATTCTAACAAATCCCTGGTGATTCAAATGGGTCATAGGCACAAGTACAGATAAGCCTGTATTGAGCATAGAAAGAATTTGATTCTAAGTTTTATGTGTGTGCATACATAGAAAAAGATAAAAGGAAATATAAATATTAAATTTTTATTTTTTATTTATTTCAGAGAGGAAGGGAGAGGGAGAGATAGAAACATCAATGATGAGAGAGAATTATTGATCAGCTGCCTCTACACACCCCACACTGGGAATTGAGCCCACAACTTGGGCATGTGCCCTGACCGGAATTGAACCAGAACCTCCTGGCTCATAGGTCGACATTCAACCACTGAGCCACGCCAGCCAGGCAACATTAAATTTTTAAAGAGGTTAAATTTGGATCAAGATATTAGCTGTGGTTTTTCTTCATCGTACTTTCTTCTTCAGACTTTATAATGAGCATGTATTAATTTTGTCAAAATTAAAGTAAATTTAAGCATTAAGTGTTCTGTGTGTTTTTTTGTGGTTTTTTTTTTAATTTTTTATTCTGTATTACTAAGTTGGTTACCTTCTCAAAAAAATGATACAGCATAAATGTGGTTTGCGATTTTTGTTCCTACTCTTAACTTGAGGAAATCTTTGACATATAATTAGGTACTAGCCTCCACATATATAAATGTTTGTCAGTGCTTATGTTCATTAACTACTGCTATGACCCATTTTGACATGACTTTGTTTGGATGTACTTCTTAAATACCATCTCATTTTAATAATACAGAACAGTAGTTTACAGTTTATTTGTTGAGAAGAAAATAAAAGATTAAAAACATGATGTTAAAAGCAGCCTATTAACAATAAAACTTTTCTTAGAGTAACTTAATAGAAATTTCATCTTATAGTGAATAAGAATAAAAATTAGCCCTCGCCGAGACCGGTTTGGCTCAATGGGTAGAGCGTCGGCTTGGGGACTGAAGGGTCCCGGGTTCGATTCCGGTCAAGGGCATGTACCTTGGTTGCGGGCATATCCCCAGTAGGGGGTGTGCAAGAGGCAGCTGATCGATGACTCTCTCTCATCGATGTTTCTAACTCTCTATCTCTCTCCATTCCTCTCTGTACAAAAATCAATAAACTATATTAAAAAAAAAAAAAAAAATTGTGCCCTAGTCGTCTTCTGAGAATTAAAAAAAAAATAAATAAAAAATAAATAAAAAAAAATAAAATTAGAGGGAAATAGTAAAATCATTTGTTTCTGGAATTTAATCTTAGGATTAAGGCTCAAAAGGAAGACGAAAATTTGGAGAGGCACCAGAGAAATATGGTTGATTAGCACAAATTTCCTTGACTTAGATTTTGTTAGATTTTCCAGATGTTAAGCATGTTTTGAGTCACTCTAGTCTGACTTGGGTGCTTTAAGCACATTGCTATTTGGGATTATAATATGTCATTTATTTGTACATTGTAATGCGAAGAAAGTGAAGTTCAAAGAAAGAATCTGGTTTTTGGTAAGGTTGGGCAAGGGAAAAAAAACATTTTGAAATTGAAAGTGATGACATGAGAAGGTTTCATAATGACATAGGAAAACGTTCTTGGCCGATTCTGGCTTGCTGCCTACTTTGGTAAATAAACTTGTACTGGAGCACAGCCACACTCGTTCTTTTATGTATGTACTAGAGGCCCAGGGCACGAATTCGTATCATTTGGGCCTCTACAGAAAAAGGTTACAAACCTTTGACATAGGAGAATGGGAATTACCATTCTTGTACCATCATATTTGGGAGGTTATTTTGGCTAGGTTAAGAGATTGTCTTTGGAATAAAAGTAAAAATTAATATTTAATATACTCGATTTTTAAATGTAGCCTCATTCTATTCTTACTTTTAAAAAGATAAAAAGCAATTCTTATAATTAAGAGCAAACAAAAACAAATGATCTTGTTTTATCAAGTTGATACAGTCTGATACTGAGAAAAGCATTGTTTTAGTTAATCTTAAAATCCTATATTTTGTATGTTCTCAATGGGATATAATCTAAGGACAAAAAAAACTACAAAGTAATCTTACATCTAACTTGCATTTGCAGTAATATAGATGTTATTTTAATACTATTTTAGTATATTTTAGGATAAAATTAAAAAGTAATGTTTTTACCACTAAGAATAAGATTTTTAGTAGAAGAAAAGGAAGCTACATGAATAAAATTAAAGAAATTAAATTAAAACACCAACATCTTAAATTTGAATAGGAAAAAATGTCAGTGTGAACTTATTATTTTCCCCCTCTATTTAAGATGTATGTTTTGTATTTTTACTTATTGTAAAAGTTGGAAGAAATAAACAGCACACTAACAGTGGATACCCTCATTACTCAGATTATGGTCTCTAGATACCATTCTTTAAAAAGAACCACGATTCTTTTCTTTTCTTTTTTTTGGATAAATGATTACTTCAAAGTCTGAAGGGGAAATAGTAAAAAATGTTATGCCAGAAAGCTAGGAATTTAATGAAGATTAATAAGATAGGTTCATATCAAAAGGACCCCAGGGACTAGCTTGAAGGGACTCTCACTTGCCAAAGATTGGATAGTTTGAGCATCAAAATGAGTAGTCACAATTCATTAAATCATTTGGAGTTAAAAAAAAAAAAAAAAAAAAAAGCCATGCATTCAGAGTGGTGCTGCAAATATAACAAAGGAAATGCAGAAAAATAAGCAAAGCAAAACTCTTTGACCATCATTGTACATTTCTATGACATTAGCTCCTTATCCTGAAATTGTAATTTAAAAAAACTTGAAAGCAAGCATTATGCTACCTTTTTAGTAGGAACTGTATTCAGAGAAACTAAATTCTTTTATATATATATATATATATATAAAACTAAATTCTTTTATATATATATATATATATATAAAATTCTTTTATATATATATATAATTCTTTTATATATATATATATATATATTTTTTTTTTTTTTTTTTTTTTTACAGAGAGGAAGGGAGAGAGATAGAGAGCTAGAAACATCGATGAGAGAGAAACATTGACCAGCTGCCTCTTGCACACCCCCTACTGGAGATGTGCCTGCAACCAACGTACATGCCTCTGACTGGAATCGAACCTGGGACCTTCCAGTCCGCAGACCGACGCTCTACCGCTGAGCCAAACCGGTTTCGGCGAAACTAAATTCTTGATGTTGAAAAGTATTGTTGCTGAAATTCTGTGAGATTTAACCATGCTAATAAGATTTTAATTTATTCAGTTTTATACTTTTCAGGTTTCTTTTTTAAAGAATGCTTTAAATTGAACTGTCCTAATAAGTCATTTACTATTAACAAGCAGGTTTAAATTGTCTTCCTTTTTTCTGTATATTATAGCACTATATGTAGTATAATACATTTTATTCATGCTTGTTTTATTATTCTTTTTGTTTTGCTTTTAATTGATCTCTCAGCAGTATCCTGGCATGAACCAACTCTCCTCCAGTCTGGGAGGACTGAGCCTTCAGAGTGCTGCACAACCAGAAAGCCTAAGACCTGTAAACCTCACTCAGGAGAGGAATATTTTACCCATGACTCCTATTTTAGCTCCTGTACCTAACTTGAATTTAGAACTTAAAAAATTAAACTGTAGCCCAGAGTAAGTATTTATTTTATAATTTTCAAAAATAGTAAAGGAAATATGATGTTAATTCCTTGAGTGGAAGTTTTGTTAATGTGAACACTTCTCTTTTAGTTTGTATAGATATTCTGGATGTAAAATTTAATTTAGGTGGTTCTTTCCTGTTCCATCTCTGTCTCCATCCATTTCTATTTCTATCACCTAATACAAGGAATTTTTTTCTTTTTCAGTGAAGGGTTTTAAGAACCCAAATCTAACTATATTTTCCTTTTCTTACATTTTTTCCCTTTTCAACAGCAGTAACTTTTAGTGTCTTTTATTTTATTTTTATTTTTTAAAATATATTTATTGATTTTTTTACAGAGAGGAAGGGAGAGGGATAGAGTGCTAGAAACATCGATGAGAGAGAGACATCGATTAGCTGCCTCCTGCGCACCCCCCACTGGGGATGTGCCCGCAACCAAGGTACATGCTCTTAACCGGAATCGAACCTGGGACCTTTCAGTCTGCAGGCAGACACTCTATCCACTGAGCCAAACCGGTTTCAGCAGTAACTTTTAGTGTCTTTTAAATAAGATGGAATATTTACAATTTTATGGCCTTTAATTTTTGCTTGAAAAGGACATGAGGTTATGTAATCACAAGAACAGTTTTAAATTCTTGGTTTATCCCTGATTTTTCTTTTCCCACTCAGTATAGAATGTGAAGACCGTTACCCCAAGCCCATTTATCCAGCCTGAATTTAGATTTGGATTTCTTTTTATTGAGTATTTTCTCACCCCTGGGGAAGTTCAGCTGGCAGCCTGCTTCTGGTGGCCATCCTCTGGGGGTATGAGCTCTGTTACTACCCCACAGTGCTTCCTTCCAAGATAAAAAGTTTTCAGTACTTCTCTGTCCTCGTAGGATATTCCACATCAGAAGACATCCTCTGCTCCTGGAATCTCTTTCTCATAAAGTAAACTCAGATTCACAGAGCAACACTGAGTTCTTCCTTGTGTTAAGAGAGTTAGTATTCTTTAGAGCCAGTATTTCTCTTTGTAAGGCAATAGATTTCTAGCTTTTTAAAAAACTATAATAAGCTTCTCTTTTCAACCAAAATCTTGTATAGTTTCCAATACAGAAAATGGAGCTTTCCGTGGGTCCCCTCTCTACTTCCTCAGCCTACCACCTACCCTCCATCTTTGTCTAAGGAAGTGCCAAGATCATTTTGATAAAATAAATAAATAAATAAATTGATTCTAGGTTGAAAATAGCTGCCCATCTTTCTGAGTGTAAGCTTCTGTCAGGTCAATAAGTATAATATGTGGATTATGGCCTTTATTATGAATAGTTAGGCATTCCCAAGTAGGTGAGTAGTATATGTATATGTAGAAAAGAGTCCATAGGGAGGGAATGCTATATATATTTCTAATCAAAATAGCAAAACAGAGTAATCAGGAGTACAGGCTTTAGAATTGGACATACCTAGGCTTCTTACCCTGGTTCCATTGATAAGTAGCTATGAGATTTTGTGCCACTTATATAACCTCTCAAATTCTTAGTATTGTCAACCGTAAAACAGGAATAATTGTGCCTATATATTAAGATAAATCATTCATATGATAAATATTAATGAATGCCTTCTAAGTGAAGTGCCAGGCACTGTTTCTAGTGCTGGGCATGAAGCAGTAAACTGAACCGAGTTCCCAGTCTCATGTAACTTAGATCCTGTCAAGGAAGAGGTACTGTGAGCAGTCAAACTAATAAGTATATGATGAAATGTTAGCGTACATGCTTAAAGTAATGAGGACCTTCCTAATTACCATTACAGACCATTCTCAAATGATTTTCACTTATGCTCTTAAATGTTCTTATTTATTCACAACAACTGTCTACTTCAGGCTGTTTGTTTTTGTTTTTTTATCTTTTGATTTTTATTTTTTCTTTTTCTTCTGATAACTAATGTAGTTTGTGTTCTTATATTTTTGCAGTTCCTTTCGGTGTACTTTGACAAATATTCCACAGACACAGGCTTTACTGACTAAAGCTAAGCTTCCTTTAGGATTATTGTTACATCCCTTCAGAGACCTAACGGTAAAGTCACATTTAAAAATATATGTGGGTACTGACATGTGTTTTTATTTGCAAGGTATTTCTGTCTAGTTCAATTCAGCCAACATTTTCTGAGCACCTGCTTTGTGGCAGGTCCTCAACTAAGTACTGGTTAATATACAGGTTATTAAGTTATTGGCCTTGCCCCTAAGAAAGTCTTCTCTAACAGTGAACAAAAATGTAAGAACAAATAATTACATACAGGAAATGAATACTTGTTAACTAATCAAATTCTATTAAGATATTTAGGTGGTAAATAGAGTATGGGAAGTAATTTACATTACAGTAGCAGAGTTTTCTACGAATGGTGAAGTCTGAGCTGGATTTTGAAAGATTAGTTTTGGAAGTTGGAGAGGCCATAGAGGATAAACTTTAGGAGATCTTTATTAAACACTAGAGGCCTGGTGCATGACATTCATGCACTTGGGGGTTAGGGGATGAAGGGGGGTCAGCATGGCCTGTATCCTTTTTTGCAGCCCAGGAGCCATCAGCCAGACATCCTTAGTGCTGCTGCAGTGGTGGGAGAGGCATGAGCCCAGCTTCTGGCTGAGTGCTATTCCCCCTGTGGGAGCACACTGACCATCAGGGAGCATCTCCTTGCATGGAACATCTGCCCCCTGGTGGTCAGTGCATGTCATAGCAACTGGTCGTTCCCCTGTTCCGCCTATTTGGATATTAACCTTTTATTATATAGGATTAAGGAAACACTAACAATGATGTGCAGTTAGGGAAGAAAACTGTATGACTATTCCTAACTGTATTAAATAACCTTCATAATAATAAATTCTAGACACTTCAAGTCTATTGAATTAAAACATTATTTGTTTCAGTTTCCAAAGTCTTTTTTTTTTAATACCTAGCTTGCTGGATTTTATTTATTTATTTATTTTTTTTTCACAAACCTCTGGTATTTCATGCAAAAATATATTTAAACTAAAAATATGAAATTTCAGAAATAATTTTATTCAGGTACATTGTATTTATATTTTACAAAGCTGCATTTCTCACTCACACTATTTTTTTCCAACCAGGCTTTTCTTATCAGCTAATAACTTTAATTGCATTTGGTTGGACTTTATTTTGGTATTTTATTTGAAGTTTATGATAAAAGAGGGGAAAAACTTGATAGCTGCTTTTGTTACTTGGCATATCACCAGATTTTATTTAAATGCTTCAATTTCAAAACACAACTATGGTTTTGATTATGAGCACAGCAGCCTGTGTGTTTCCTGGGGTATTCTTTCTGCTGCAACGTCTTTATTTTACTTCCTAGCAATTACCGGTAATAACATCCAATACCATCGTGAGGTGCCGATCCTGTCGAACATATATCAACCCTTTTGTATCCTTCATTGATCAGCGTAGATGGAAATGCAATTTGTGCTATAGAGTTAATGATGGTGAGTTTGTATTCTTAAAATAAATATGTTTAATATTATTTTAAACGTTGTAACATTTGTCATCTAATCTCTCTGCTCACTATTTTCAGAACTTCCATACCACTTTTAATGGCGAGAGTATAGGCTACGGACATTTCATTTTATTTTTATTTATTTATTTTTATTGATTGATTTTTTACAGAGAGAAAGGGAGAGGGATAGAGAGTTAGAAACATTGATGAGAGAAAAACATTGATCAGCTGCTTCCTGCACATCCCACACTGGGGATGCGCCCGTAACCAAGGTATATACCTTTGACTGGGATCAAACCTGGGACCCCTCAGTCCCCAGGCCAATGCTCTGTCCACTGAGCCAAACCAGTCAGGGCTAGGGACACTTCATTTTAGCTATCCAAGGAGATAATGAGGAGAAGTGACAGTGAGGTCAAACTAAAACATATTCATACAACAAGCAGTGAAGTGAAGGTCACGCAGTTGAGGTCGTGCAGACTAATTATGCTTTTGTTGATATTTTTGGTTGGTTCTACTCAGTATAGAGCTTTGCTAGTGTATCTGATCACATGGGTGCAGTGTGTCTGTTTTCCCCTTTAGTCATATCTTAGGGTATCTTCATGTGATTGTTTTCAAATTTGTGTTTGTCTGATTCCCCCCCCACCATGTCATGAGATGTGGTAAATAGAACACAAACCTAAAAAGCAAGGTTACTTGTGTTCTGGTTTCCTAACCAGATTTCAGCGGGGGGAAAAGTTTCTTAATTCTTCTGATATATTTTTTAAAGAGGGCTTAAGGAGTTAGTTTTTACCATTAGATATTCACAGAATTATTGTAAACCTTATATAAATTAATGATAGAGGTGTTTCTTTCTAGAAGTGCATATATGTGCGTAATTATAAGTTGTATTACTAAATTTATACTGGATTCCTAATTCTTACCTAGTTCCTGAAGAATTTATGTATAATCCCCTTACCCGATCTTATGGAGAGCCTCATAAACGGCCAGAAGTTCAGAATTCAACTGTGGAGTTCATTGCTTCTTCTGATTACATGGTAACTATTCAGTGTTAAAGTTAATCTTGGGATAAATTGTATTGGTCATTTGTAATTTGCTGTTAAGTGAATTTTTGTCCACATTTTGAATTTTTAAAAAATGAATTTTTGAAAAAAATTTCTATTTTTACTGAACAAATAGAAAATTCTTTGTAAAGGTTACTTGATCTCCTAGAAGAATGCAGTGATTTCACTAAGAAATCTTAGTAATGTTTTATGATGAGCACTAGAATCTACAATTTGTTGCCGTTCTGATTATATACTTACATAGAAAGAATATAAATATTCTTTTACTATTTAATACTTAAGACCCTCCAATAGAAAAATCTCATGTTTTTGCCAAAAACTGTAATTTTCAAACTCTTACAGATATAATCTCAAAAAAAAAAAAGATATAATCTTAATTCTTTATCCAGTATGGATATAAAGATAAATGAATATTGACTTTATTCTAATTTCTCTCTTTTCATGTCATCATAAAATTCTATCTGTTCTTTAATAATGATTCTGAGCTTTACCTAACTTCTGCTAATCTTCTTTATCATATTTACTAATTTTTAAATACATTATAATAACATGTTTCCTTTGTATTTTTTTTTTCTAATCTTTGTTGTTGGCAAACATGTAAATTAGTAAATAATTAATGTGTATTAAATTTATAATGCTTAACCCCATCTCTTTATTTCTCCAATTTTTATGATTCTCTGTGTTTAACATAGCATCTGACCACTTAACTACTATTTTCTTATCTGTTTTCTATTAATTATAGTAAACTTTCTTTTGGTCACCTGTTACTCTCAACTCCTTACCTTCTTTACAGCATACTATGTTTCCAGCCCTGTTCTGGCTCTTTAGAAATCTTAATCTAATTGAAGTGATGTACCGTGTTTCCCCGAAAATAAGACATCCTCCGAAAATAAGACCTACTTACAGGTTTCCTTCTGAGTGAAATATAAGGCATCCCCCTCAAAAATAAGGCTCCTAGATTTGGTCCACTGATTCTGAAAAAAATAGAGTCACAAGAAATTCACCAGGAAATTCAGGAATTGGATTGTTATGATGATGTTCCAAAAGATGATGGCATGATTGTCATTGAATAAATTAGTAAATTCTTGATACTGTAGGATTCACAGTTTGTCTGGTTTGTTTTGACAACTACCGTACTACTGTACCGTATACAGGTAATAAATTTCCATTATTTTCATTTAACAATAAATGTGTACCGTATTCTTCTTCATGGAAAAATAAGACATCCCCTGAAAATAAGACCTAGTGCATCTTTGGGAGCAAAAATTAATATAAGACACTGTCTTATTTTCAGGGAAACAGGGTAGCAATAAGATTTCTGGTTGACATTAAAAAAAAAAAAAAGACTTTATGTATTCTTTTATTTTAACTTCCTGTAACAGTTTTCAAGCATACTTCAAAGAAGAGAAAATAGTATAATAAGCCATCATTTACCCAGTGAGCTTCAACATTTATCAACCTTGTGCTATATATATTTTATATTTTATCTATTTCCAATCTACTCCAGTTTCTCCTCCCCTCACCCACTGGAGGTTATTAAATGCTAATCCCAACATCATATATTTAACCTATTAAATCCATTATATATGTCTAGTAGAGAAGGACTAAACATACTTGAAATACTATTGCAAGGACTTTACACTTAGCACTTCACCGTTGGGTTTCAGCCACCACCAGGTGACCCAATAGCTACTACTAATGATTATTAAGTTAAAGAAATTAAATTTTAAAAATGTTTTTAGGGGCAGGGAAGAGATGTTAGAGGTTGATATTAAATAATAAGTAAATTTAATTTTTCTTTGAAAGATATCTCAGCCAAGACTCTCAGGAAAACATTTAACCCATCTATTTAACCATTACTATATAATGGCTGCCTTATCAAGCTTTATCTACAACCAACCTTATAAGAAAAAAGTAAAAGAAATATCATTTTCACTAGCACATGAGATCTTACAAAACATCCTATTTATGTATTTTTTTTATAGCATACTCAGTGGTGATATAAAAAGGATACATTGTACCTATTAAATAAATTACATTATTTTTATGTCTTTCAGCTTCGTCCTCCTCAACCTGCAGTTTACTTATTTGTTTTAGATGTGTCTCATAATGCAGTGGAAGCTGGGTATTTGACAATTTTGTGCCAGTCACTGTTAGAAAATCTAGACAAGTAAGAATTATTTTATTCAAAATATATTTTATTCAAAATATATTTTATTCAAAGTGTTTATCAGCAGTTTATTGTGTTGGTTTTTATTAACTTTGATTTCATTTTTAGAGTATTTCCTGTCCACCATAGAATATGGATTCTGCTATTTGAATTTTGTTATGATTTATGACTTGGTATCTGAATCATAAAATCATAAAGTTTTAAAACTTAGTAAGAAATTTTTTTAAAAATTTATCTTTATTGATATGAGAGAAAGGGAAAGAGAGGAGAGAGATGAGAAAGAGTTATTGATCAGCTGTCTCCTGCATGCCCCACACTGGAGATTGAGTCTGCCGTCAGGATATGTGCTTTGACCAGGAATCAAACCATGACCTTCTGGATGATGTCCACTTTATATTTTAGTTATATTTTTTGAAATTGTTGTGTGAGGCTGCAATTAGGCATTTACCTATGCCGCCATCTTAGTTTCTGTCCAAACCATGACCTTCTGGTTCATAGATCTATGCTCAGTCACTAAGGCATGCCAATTGGGCTTAATAAGGAATTTAGATCTCCTCTAACTTAGCAGATCTCAGTACTGGGGCCCAGAGAACTTGACTTGGCCAGGTAGCCAAAAATCTGGACTGGGAGAAGTCTAGCTATAATTTTTACCTGAGCACTGGGTTTTCCATAGGTAGTTTTAAATGTGCTAATAAGAGAATGAGCCAGATAAAGGGAAAGAGGGAATTGATTTTCTGCTCAATATTTTCCAGGAAGCCAGAAACTGAGCTCATCATTTTGGCACATGAGTAATGAGCCTTATTGTGAAAGTGGGAACAGTGTGGGATGGGTTGCTTATACCTGGCACTAATTCCTCTCTATGTGTCTGTTAGTCATGAAGGGGGCCCTCAATGAGGTTTAATAATGAGCCTTCCAATTCTCAGTAAAACAAAGTTGTTTGTACGTTACTTTTTTTACTACAACACCCATAAGAGATAAAACTTAAAGACTATTAGTAAGGGGGGGTTCTACTACAGTGGCTTCTCACTTGTCCAAAGGTGTCTGGTGGTTACGTGTGCTGAATGCTGTGCTGGAAGTAATCTTGGTGATCCCAGAAGGTTCTCCCACAACTTCCATTGAGTGAGATTCCTTGCTCTGCTGAGTGCTAACTCTAGTCATTACAGTCTGCATATCACTGATGAATAAAACTGATAATGTTAAGACCTTTTAGATAGTTTTAAAAATCCAGAAATATTAAATGATTTGCTTTTAGTTTGTGTTAGTAACTTAGAGTTTTCATATTTTTCTCCTTGATTGAAGCATTTGCCCTATTTTTAGTTACAAGTGCCTACTTCAGATACAGTTTCAGCAGTAAGTGGCAGTGGATGATCCCCTGCAAAGAAATCATTTTTAAAACTGAAAAGTTAGCCAACTGGAAAAGTATGAGGATATAGCCATAGAAATGGGACCCAGTCCAGCAAAGATGAGTGACTATTTGCAAATTAAAAAGATAATGCAAAACCAAAAGTATAAATAGTTTTATCTATAAATATAAAAGCCTAAGTGACCTTCACAACCAAAATAACCAGACAGCTGGATGAGCAAACAGGCTGCGTGGGGCAACTAGGCCAGCAGGGAGGTTAGTGAGGTACAGCCAATCAACTGAACAGCAGGCTGTGTAGGGTGACCAGGCTGGCAGGAAGGGAGGTGGGGTGGCAGTTGAGGATGACCAGGCTGGTGGCAGGGGGGCAGTTGGGGGCAACCAAAGGGGGGGGGGCAGTTGGGGTGATCAGGCAGGCAGGCAGGTGAGCAGTTAGGAGCCAGTGGCCCCAGATTGTGAGAGGGATGTCCGACTGCTGGTTTAGGCCTGATCCCACTCGGACATCCCCCAAGCGGTCCCATATTGGAGAGTGTGCAGGCTGGGCTGAGGGACCTCCCTCCTCATGCATAAATTTCATGCACCAGGCCCCTAGCTATAATAATCAAGGTGTAATATGCTAACTAGATTAGACAGCCTAACGACCTTCCAGACGTCATTCTGGATGTCTTCCAAAGCCACAGTGGCCGAGCCTGAGGCAGAGGCGATTAGGGGCAAGCAGGCAGGCAGGCAAGCTGTTAGGAGCCAACGGTCCCGGATTACCATCCGTATGGGATCAGGCCTAAAATCAGCAGTCAGACATCCCCCCTGGGGTCCCAGATTGTGAGAGGGTGCAGGCCAGGTTGAGGGACCATTCCCAACCCCATGGATGAATTTTGTGTACTGGGCCTCTAGCCTCTAATATACTAGAGGCCCAGTGCACAACATTTGTGCACTTGGGGGTGGGGGTCCCTCAGCCTGGCCTGTATCTGAGAGCCCTGGGGGGATATCCAACTGCTGGCTTAGTGGGCCTAAACCATCAGTCAGACATCCTTAGCATTGCCACAGAGGCAGGAGAGGCTCTCACCACTGCTGCTGTGCTCACCAGCCGTGAGCCCAGCTTCTGGCTGAGCAGTGTTCCCCCTGTGGGAGTGCACTGATCACCAGGGGCAGCTCCTGCATTGAGCATCTGCCCCCTGGGGTCAGCATGCATCATAGATATGACTTGATCATTCCACCATTTGGTCATTTACATGTTGGCCTTTTATAATGTAGGATACTGTGTGTGTATGTATACACACACACACACAGACACACACAGAGCAAAAAATAGCAGCATTAGTAAAGTTTAAAAAGTAGAGGTAATAATGATAGCAACAATGTAGTAAAATGCTTTTGGAAAGGTTGGTGGAAATAACTTTGAGGAAGAAGAATTTGATCGCTGGAACAGTTCCAACTAAACTTTGTGTTGTAAGCATGGGATAGAGCAGGTAAGTGGTCATCATTTTGACTGGTAACAAACTATCCTAATATTCAGTGACCATAGAAATCTCTCAAAGGAAAAAAAAAAAAATCTCTCAAAGAGGTGAAGAATAGTAACAACATAAATCTTGACCAGTATTGGTAATCTAAACATGCACATAACTTGGTACGTTCTGTTCTACGAAGTGCTTTTAGACTTACCTTGCAGACTATATCTGATTGATCATAAATAATGCTAATTATTCTTGCTTTGATGTACACCATAAAAAATACATATTTTTTAATTTAAAAAAATAATCACTCATCAGCTGCCTCCCTCACATCCCCCCCTGGGGAATCCAACCCATAACCCGGGCATGTGCCCTTCAGGCCACAGATCGAAGCTCTGTCCACTGAGCAAAAACCAGCGAGGGCTCAAAAATATTTCAAAGCTTTACTAAAACAATAGATTACATAACAGCAGTTAACAGAGTTGGTGGTACTTAGAAATACCCTTCTAGCCAAGATGGCATGGCTCAGTGGTTGATTGTCGACCTATAAACCAGGAGGTCATGATTAGATTTTCTGCCAGGGCCCATGCCTGGGTTGCAGGCTTGATCCCTAGTGTGGGACCTGCAAGAGGCAGTCAATTAGTGATTCTAATTAATGTTTCTTTCTCTTTCTCTCCCGCTTTGAAGTCAATAAAAGTACATTTTAAAATAAAGAAATATACTTCTGTACAATATAGTATTTATCTTATTCATAAGAAAAGCTTGATGGGCATTGAAATGTTAATTTATTCCTTTATTCTGTGGCATTGACCTTTGAATATACCGCATTCTGGAAGAATATTTTTTTAAAATTCATGATAGATAGAATGCCTTGATCTTAAATGTGATTTTTATTTAAAATTCTGTACATTAAAATCTGATATGCAAAAGACAGTACATTCAGTCTGTCTTTTCAGGAAGATGCTTTTTTGCTATTCTGCCCTTAAAATGTTTAAACAAGATATGCTGTTTTTGTAATGTTGGAACTGAAAATATGAGTGATTTTTCACTCAAAATAATACATTTCAAAACAAAATCACCAAGAAAACTTTGGTGTTTTTTTAATCGTGTCATTTTTAGCCTTCACTGTGTGGCTTGGTTGGTTGGAAATGGTCTCGGGTTTGATTCCCAGTCAGGGCACATATCTGGGTTTCGGGTTCAATCTGGCCTTGGTCAGGGAATCAGGGGAGGTAGCCGATTGATGTTTCCCTCTCACATTGATGTTTTTTCTCTCTCCCTCCTTCCCTCCTTCCCTTTCTGTGTCCCATCTCCTCTCTAAAAAAATCATTGAATGTGTCCTTGGGTGAGGCTTCCTTAAATAAATAATTAATTAATTATGTCATTTTTAGTTTTGGTTTATTATTTGAATATAGTTCAGTTTTGTTTGTTTTTTTTTTTTAAATATATTTTATTGATTTTTTACAGAGAGGAGGAGAGAGGGATAGAAAGCTAGAAACATCGACCAGCTGCCTCTTGCACACCCCCTACCGGGGATGTGCCCGCAACCAATGTACATGCCCTTGACTGGAATCGAACCTGGGACCTTTCAGTCCGCAGACCAACGCTCTACCACTGAGCCAAACCGGTTTCGGCTATAGTTGTTTTCTGACCTAGGAACTCTAAGTGTTAGTGGTTTCATCTGAAAATGGAATGCTTCATCCTTACTCTTCTCTGATACCTGTTGATTTAGAGAAAGCTGACTTTTCTGTCTTCTATGAAAAAGCATATGTAGTTATTCGTAGGCTTAGTTTCCTATTTTATTATTTACTTAAGTAAAACATGTTACTGAGCACTCTAAATTTTAAATTGTCATTTTTATCTTTAGGCTTCCTGGGGATTCACGAACAAGAATAGGATTTGTGACCTTTGATAGCACTATTCACTTTTACAATTTGCAAGAAGGATTATCACAACCTCAGATGTTGATTGTGTCTGATATAGATGGTAAGCAGTGAATAAAATAAAATATTTTTACTAAGTTTGGAGTTGATGCTACTTTATTTGATAGTACATCTTATAATGCTGTAAGGATAATTTGGTGCACTTAGATATTTGTTTAAAAATTATCATTTCCTGGAAAATAATTGATCTTGTTTTTACACCTGTGTATATGTACTTTTGCATGTGTGAACACATGTGTATAATACAGAGAATAAAGCAATACTATAGTACCCATTATAAGAGTGGCCTGGTGAAAAACTAAGATTTTTTTTTTATATTACGATACCTTTTTTATTTGATTTATCTGTTGATTAAAATATGTTTTCCCTATAGATGTTTTTCTACCTACTCCAGATAGCTTACTTGTCAACCTACATGAAAGTAAAGAGGTGAGATTGATTTTTTTCCTTAGAGTATTAAAATGTTTCTGTTATTTCAACTGTTTACTGAAATGTTTACCATTTCCTTAGTCTATTAACATTTCAATAGACAATGTGGTAGCATATCCATTGACTCCTCAATTTACGGTGCATCCAAATGAAGTGGCATAGTGTCTCGGGGATGTTTTAAAGAAGAATATTGCCTTGCCTTCTGAGTAATTCAACTCTTAATCTTTGTTTTCCCAGCTGATAAAAGACTTATTGAATGCATTACCAAACATGTTCACCAATACAAGAGAAACACACAGTGCCCTTGGTCCTGCGCTTCAGGCTGCCTTTAAATTAATGTCTCCAACAGGTGGCCGTGTGTCTGTATTTCAGACACAGTTACCTTCCTTGGGTGCAGGACTTCTGCAATCCAGAGAGGATCCTAACCAGAGATCAAGCACAAAGGTATTTTATACTTCGTTTCTCTGTCGTATTCAGGATGGTGTTTTCTGCTTGATCATTCTACTTTCCCACTTCAACTTGAATTATTTTGTTTTTGTGTTGCGGTGTATTCTTTATTATTTGTTTGCAAGTCATAGAAATTTAGGAATAATTAGCTCTAATCCTTTCATTTTATAGATGAGGAAACAAACTACATGTATTGCCAAAGATTAATTATTTAATGGTAAAAATGTAGCTTAATATTCTGATTCCAGAGTTCTTTTCTGTTATACAATAACATACTTGTTAAATATGAGATACTATCGTTTAACATGCTCATGCTAATAAAATTTTCATTATGATAGTGATATAAATTATTATATAAACTTAGAAAATGGGAATAATGTAACAAATCAATATTCACTCTCAAGATATGCAGACAAGCATAATCAAGCATCATATTTATATATACTACATTTTCTAACTGATCTTTTATCAGAAAGTATATTGGATCATTAAGAAATGTGTTTTATTAGTGTGGTGAGTGTGGCTCAGCTGGTTGAGTGTCATCCTGTGCACGAAAAGGTCACCAGTTTGATTCCCCGTCAGGGCACATTCCAGGTTGTAGTTCAATTCCCCAGTCGGAGTGCATACGAGAGGCAACCAATCGATGATTCTGTTTCACATTGATGTTTCTCTCTTTTTCTCTCTCTTCTCTCTCCAAAATAAATTTTTTAAAAAAATTAAAAAACAACTAAATAATTTTTTTTTTTTTTTTTTACTAAATATGAAAGTACTCAATTTAATAAATTGCCTCCTAACTATTGAAAAGTTGTCTCTTGCATTTTAACTATTAAAAAACAACAACCCAATATCAGGCTGAATATTACATGAAGACTTTATCAGATATTTTAATCCCTTATTTTAAATAATAAATTAACTGGAACACTCATTTTTTATTCTGTACATAATTTTTATCTAACTTCAACTTATATATGAGAAAATGCTATTGCAACTAATTATGAGTATGAAACATTTTTAATAGTGTCATAAATATTTAATGATATAGTCAGTTTTTTCTTAGGATAAATTCCTAGAAGTAAAATTACTAGGTCAAATAGTTAAATTATTAAAGTATTTTACTTATTGGGCTTTTTATTAACCTATACTCTTAATGACTTTCATCTTATAGTCACTATTAAGTATTGTTGCTTCTTTATTCTTCATCGATTGCTAGAGAAAAATAGCACCATACTTTATTTTTTACAGAAATTGTATTTTTTATTGCTTTTGAGAAGGAAAGGAAGCTATTTTATTTTTTATGTGTTTTTATTGATTTGAGAGAAAAAGAGAGAGGGAAATATCTATCTGTTGTCTCCTGCACATCCCTTACTGGGAATTGAGCACACAACTGGGGCATCTGCTCTAACTGGGAATCGAACCAGTAACCTCTTGGCTTATGAGTCAATGCTCAACCACTGAGCCACACTGGCTGGCCAAGAAGCTAATTTAAAAATAAATTGAGGCAAGGATATTTTTTAATCAACAAGTAAAACTAGCATTGAATTCATTGATACATTGCAGCCTATTATAGAATACTGAGATGTTTTGAACATAGGAATATGTTACAGATTTACTGATTTTTTTTTTTAATATATTTGTTTTTTTCTCATTTAACTTTTAGAAATATTCTCTGTCTGCCTGGAACTCAAAAATTAAATATCTGTTCTGGTTTACATATTCCTTCTTAGCTGAGTAAACTCTACTAATGTAATAACCATACACTGCAGGGTGGGACAGCAGTAGGTTTACAGTTCTAATAGAAAATAATACAATAATTAATAAATAATAATACAAGAATAAACTCTGTTTTATGTACTCAGTTGTAAACCTACTTTTGTATAACTGACCACTCTGTATAACTGGGGAGATTGAAACATTTGGTTAGGCAGTGCAGTGTAGTAATTAAGAACTTGGAACCTGCCTCTTGCACTTTTTTACCTCGTTCTCTAGTGCCACCTTCTCAGTTCCATAGTCCTCCTACCTATAGGAAAAACCTTCCTTAATCTATTATGCTCTCCTGGTGCTATATATTAGTGATTGACAGCACTCAATCTGGAGCCCAGACTTCTTGCATTTATATTCTAGCATCTTCCATTAATAGCTATGTAATTAGTCAAGTTACTTAATCTTTTTTTGCCTCAGTTTCCTCATCTGTAAAATGAGATATATGTTATTATGAGGATTAAATAATACATATAAACAATCTCGAGCAATGCTGCCATGTAAGTGCTTTATAAATGTTAGCAATTATTATTATTAGAGGCCCCCAGTGCATGAAATTCATGCATGGGGGTGGGGAGTCCCTCAACCCGGCCTGTGCCCTCTCACAATCTGGGACACTGCATGCACCAGTGACCATATTTTTCGTACGGGTGAAAGGGCACTTGTTGTATGGGCAGCTACATTTTTTTGCGCTGATTATAGAAAGTACTACATAACATGATGCTTCTAAGGCAGTAGTACCATTTTTCCATCTTATGGGTGGAAAAACTGAAGCAGAGAGAAGTTAAGTAATTGGCTTTGTCACAGTTATAAGTGTTAGAATCAGGGTTGACCACAAAATATGCAAGCCAGAGTTCATGCATGTCATCACTGCATCGTCCTGTTTTTTTCAGTGTTAGAGTAGCCCTGCCAGGTTTTAATTTTTAAATCTAAGAGACTGTTCACAATATATAGGCTAGGGCTCCTTGGCTTGACCAGCAATCAGGGCCATCTGTTAGGCAATCAGGGGAGCCCACACTGGCACCCGCCTTGGCAGGCAACCTGGTGCTGCCTGCTTGCTGACCCCACCTCCGCCACACCACCTGTCGCCTCCCTCTGCCCCCTGAGGTCATTGCATGTCATAGTGACCGTCATTCCGCTGTTTGGTTGTTTTGCATATTAGGGTTTTATTATAGGACTAAAGGCCCAGTGCACAAAATTTATGCATGGTGGGGTGGGGGTGGAGGGGTTCCCTTAGCCCAGCCTGCATCCTCTCACATTCCTGGACTGCTGGCTCCTAATTGCTTGCTGGTTGCCCCTAACTGCCCCCTACTGCTAGCCTGATTGCCCCTAACTGCTCCCCCAGCTGTCGACCAGGTTGTTCCCAACTGCCCTCTCCCTGCTGGCCTAGTCGCTCCTAACAACCCCTTCCCCCTGCCAGCCTGGTTACCCCTTACTGTTCCCCCTGCTGGCTTGGTAACCCCCAACTGCCCTAGCCAGCCTAGCCAACCCTCACTGCCCCTCTCTCGCCAGCCTAATCGCTCCCAATTGCCCCACCCTGCTGACCTGGTCACCCCCAATTGCACCCCCTGCCAGCCCGGTCAGTCCTAACTGCCCCACCACCAGCCTGGTCACTTCTTCCCTGCCCCCCACCAGCCTGGTCACCTTCAACTGTCCCTCTCCCCCACCCCCGTCAATCTGGTCACCACCAACTGCTCCCTCTGCCATCCTGGTGGTCCCTCACTGCCCACCCCCCTGCCGTCCTGGTTGCCCCTCACTGCCCCCCTTTCTCCTCCTCGCTGGCCTGGTTGCCTCATGCAGCCTGCTTGTTCAATCGTTTGGTCATCCCTCACTGTAACCTCGCTGCTGTCCTGGTTGTAGGCAGCCATCTTGTGAGGATGTGAGGGTTAATTTGCATATTACCTCTATTATATAGGATTACTATAGAAAATCTGTGCCAACTGCCTAGACACTTTAAACAAATTTTAGTTTGTTGGGGGATGGGGGTGGTGGTGAAGATACCACTTCCTTGTTATAAGAGAGAGACAGAAACAGAAGTCTTACTTTGTGACTTGTTGATTTAGGTTGTACAACATCTTGGCCCTGCAACTGATTTTTATAAGAAGCTGGCTTTGGATTGCTCAGGGCAGCAGACTGCAGTGGATCTCTTTCTTTTAAGTTCACAATATTCGGATCTTTCTTCTCTAGGTAAGGGGACATTGTGTTTATCTCTTTACATACAGTTTTAGCATATGAATTAAATCTAAACTCTATAGTAAGCATTCTCAACACTTTGGAGAGAGAGACATGTGAGTTACATAGATGATATTTCTGAAAATTAACAGTAAATTTTAAAGCACTATACTAGTATAAAATGTTTTGATATTTTGTTTTTAAAATATAATTTATTTGCCATTCTCCTCAAAAATAAACCTTATATGTTATATTTTATAAATGTTTGTGTTTTCTCAGATTTACATATTATCTTTATTTTGACAGTTTTTGTTTTCTCATTATGGCTTAGATTTCTAAATAATATAGAATTTATACTCCTGTTGGACAAATATGAAATACTTCTTAAATTTCTCTTTAAAGCTTGCATGTCCAAGTATTCAGCAGGCTGCATCTATTATTATCCATCTTTCCATTCTACTCACAATCCTTCACAAGCAGAAAAGTTACAAAATGAACTAAAACGTTATCTCACAAGGAAAATTGGATTTGAAGCTGTTATGAGAATAAGGTGTACTAAAGGTATGGCATTATAAAAACTCTGGTTTATAATTAAATTAGCATTCATATATTGAGTATCTGTGACTATCTATAAACCATGAAAGACTATGCATATATATATATTTTTTTTTTTGAATAACCATTGACCAATTTTTACAATAATTTGGAAATGGGCAAAAATAATGTGTTGCTTTATTAGAAAGTAGCTAAGAGAAAGCTCATATTGAAGATGATTTTTAGAAAGAGAATTAGAGTAATAGGGAAGATTTTAAGTGAAAGTTATCTTTGCCCTCATCATCATTTAAATAGTCTTCAATGTACATTACCTTGGTTTTATGTGAATATTTTCAGTAGGGATTCTGATCACTTATTTTAATTCTTAAAGGAGTTTACAGTAACCCCTATTTTAAAAATCTTTTAGATTAGATCTTTTGTGGAACCTACATTGGTCCTTTTGAATTGGTATTTTAGAAACTCTTAACAACACTCCAATCCTGTCCCCCAGTTATCCTTTTCATTCAAAATCAGAGACTTTTTTTTTTACATTGTAAAGTAGCTTTAGCCGGAGATGTACTATTATTGCTTCATCTTTTATAACAAGTTTTCTCTTCTCTAGGCCTTTCAATGCACACTTTTCATGGAAACTTCTTTGTGCGTTCCACTGATTTGTTGTCCCTCGCCAACATCAATCCTGATGCTGGATTTGCAGTACAGCTGTCAATTGAAGAAAGTTTGACGGACACTTCCTTAGTATGCTTTCAAACAGCCCTGTTATATACATCAAGCAAAGGTAACATTAGGAGAAATGAAATATAACCTGTAGCAATAATTCTCTAACGTGGTGAGAATGGGGAGAAAGAATGAACATACAGTGGAAAGTGATAGGATTTGCATCAGCTAATCAAACATATGTTCTGTGTTTTGTTTTGTTTTTTAACTTTTTTTATTCTTTAAATGATCTTTTTTGACTTGCATTCCCAGGATCATATATATCTGGTAAACCATGCTGTTATGTTGGATATAATTTAGAAGAATGATCTATATATATAAAAGCCTTGCCCTAATCAGTTTGGCTCAGTGGATAGAGTGTTGGCCTGCGGACTGAAGGGTCCCAGGTTCGATTTCGGTCAAGGGCATGTACCTGGATTATGATCACATCCCCAGTAGAAGGCATGTAGAAGGCAGCTGATGTTTCTCTCTCATTGATGTTTCTAACTATCCCTTTCTCTTCCTCTCTGTAAAAAAAATCAATAAAGCATATTTTAATAATAAATAAAATAAAAATCTAAGCCACCATTTGACTGGTAGCTATGACGTTGTCTGACCACCAGGGGGCAGGCACTCAACACACAGCATGGAAGTATGGAATAGTCTGATGAATCTCAGAGGGAAAGTGGAAAGAGGAAAAGCAGGAAGAGATTAAACAAAGATGTTATATGCATACTAGAGGCCCAGTTGCATGGATTCATGCACCAGTGGGGTTCTTCTGTCTGGCCTACGATAGATCAGGCTGAAACCAGCAGTCTGACATCCCCCAAAGGGTCCCAGATTGCAAGAAGGCACAGGCCATGTACCAGGCCTCTAGTATTAAAATAAAAACTAAAATGTAATGTTAAAGCTTTATTCAAAATGTAGTATGTGTTCATAGTATACCTTCAGATTTAGAAAGTGTTTAATTTTCTTTAAAACACATTCACTGTGTTTTTATATTTCAATATCCTATTGAAGATTTAATCAAAACAATACCTTGAATAATTTTTGTTTCTTTTTAAAAAAATATTTTGCAATGACATTTGTTCATCACTTTGTTTAGGTGAACGGAGAATTAGAGTGCATACACTTTGTTTACCAGTGGTAAGTTCACTAGCAGATGTATATGCAGGAGTGGATGTACAAGCTGCCATCTGTCTTCTGGCAAACATGGGTGAGTAAAACACTGAGGGAACAGGTGTAATGCATTTTTCTATTCTAAAAACTGAAGCTTGGACATTTTTTACCCTAGAGATCCCTTATTTTAAAAGTGTATGTTTTCTGTTTTCATGTATAACAGTGTAAATTGGATGGTTCTTGTATTTATTATTAATTTTTTGGTTTAAAAATCTTTTGAGGATTCATAATCATTTAAAGTTGGTGACAACCTAATTTTCCTTCAGCTAGTGAATATATGAACAAGCTGTAATACATTCATACAATGGAATATCATTCAGGAATAAAGAACTATTGATACATGAACAAAATGAATGACTTTCATAGGCATTATGCTAAGTAAAAGAATCTAGTCTCAAAATGCTACCTACAGCCCTAGCCTGTTTGGCTCAGTGAATAGAGTGTCAGCCCGGCGACTGAAAGGTCCCAGGTTCAGTTCTGGTGAAGGGCCTTGATTTCAGGCTCCCAGCCCTGGTCGGGTCATGCGGAAGGCAACCAATTGATGTGTTTCTCTCTCTCTTTCCCTCTCCCTTCCATTCTTTTTTTTTTTTTTTTTTTTTTTTTTTTAAATCAAAAATATCCTCAGGTGAGGATTAAAAACAAACAAAAACAACCACTACCTACATGTGATTCCATTTATATGACTTTCTAGCAACGGGAAAATCATAGGGATGAAGAAGAGATCATCCCACGATTTTTCAGGGTTGGGGCAGGGGAGCATCTTACTACAAGGAGATATTCTGGGGTGATGATGGCACTGTTGTGTATCTTGATTGTGGTAATGATTGCATGGTTATGCGTTTGACATAACCACCATTGAGCTATACTGGAAATAGTAAATTTTACTGTATATAAGTTTTTTAAATCCTTTAGGGAATTAATATAACACTTAGTGTTTTGTTTTTAATGAAATTATATTTTAGATGGATTTAGATATAAAATGACATGATTATTGCCCATGAATTTTATTTTTAATACTTGGGCATATGTATAGGTTATCTCTTTTAATAAAGTATGTTCTTGGAATTTCACGCTAATATCTGGCTTTTCAGTGTCTGCATAATGTCCTGTGTTCAGTTAGTCCTCTCTTTTGTTTGCCTGGGAATGCTTCGGCAGAGATTTCAGAGGATCACCAGGGATAGCTCAGATTGCAGAACTTACCATTGTTTGTTTGTTTTCCAAATCTTTCTTTTTTATTAGAACTTACATTGTTTGGCCAGAAAAAAAATACTTTATACGTGTAACTTCTATTTAAATAATGAAAATATCCCCAGAGTTTTCTTAAAGTAGATGAATAATACATGTTTTCCAGTACCAGTAGTGGCTTAGTATTTTTAAGCTTAAAACTATTAAAACAAAAAGGTCCAAAACAATTTAGATTTATTTTGATTATCAAATTTAGTTCAGAAAAATTGGATAATGAGCAAAGTCACCCCAATAAATTTAATTAAAACAGTTTTTTAATGGGTGAGCAGGTAAATGTATTTTTCTATACTAGAAATTGAATTTTTATTGGTGTCTTAAATAATGCATGTAAGTCTTATCTCTGATAGCATTCATTGAAGTCTAATGGTTAAAAACCTTTTTGTTGCTTTCTAGCTGTGGATCGATCCATTTCAACCAGCCTCTCAGATGCAAGAGATGCCTTAGTGAATGCTGTGGTGGATTCACTGTCTGCATACAGTTCCACTGTCTCAAATGTACAGCACTCTGTGTTGATTGCACCCAGCTCGCTCAAGTTGTTTCCTCTCTATGTTTTGGCCCTTCTCAAACAGGTAGCTAGCTCTCTATACAGTATTACACTTAAGAAAGCCTTTAAAATTTCTTGGTACATATCCAACACGGATATCTCCGGGAAGTCTCTTCCCGGGGCTCTGTCCAGGTGGCGTAGGGAGCACAGGGCTTTGCCCATTGATGTACAGTCCCTTTCCACAGCGTTGCAGAGAAAGCCGGGCCTTGAGTCTGCTCCTGCATATTCCTACAGCTTCTCAGAGTCTTATGGACAATGACAGAGGAGATAAACCATGAAGGAAACATCTAAAAAATAATAATATTCTCAATACATAAGTGAAGAAATGAAATCTAGGTTTCTGGGTTAAAAAAAATATTTAGTTAGAGGATTATGTAGTTTACCATTGGAAAGGTTTAGAAGAACAGGAAAAGATCACTGGAAAGTCGAGGTATAGAGATACATGATGACTTTTGTGAGACCCTATGCCTTTACTCTTTAATATGTGAAAGCAGCCTGCATAATGGTGTGCTTATAGTTACTCTTCGTGTATGCTTCTGGACAGAGACTCAGGGAAAGATTAATACTCATTGAACATCTTCCCAGGCAACATAATTGGTGATAGATACATATCCTCTTAACTTACAGCAACTGAGAGAGGTGAGTATCATTTTTCCTGTTTTGTTGATGATGACAACATAGCTTTGAGAAGCTAAGTAACTTGCTCACATACCTTTCTATTAAATGTCGGAGCTGAGCCGAAACCGGTTAGGCTCAGTGGTAGAGCGTCGGTCTGCGGACTGAAAGGTCCCAGGTTCGATTCCCGGTCAAGTGTATATACCTTGGCGGCAGTCACATCCCCAGTAGGGGGCGTACAGGAGGCAGCTGGTCGATGTTTCTCATCAAAAAATGAATAAAATATATTTTTATAAATAAATAAATAAATAAATAAATGTCGGAGCTGAAAATAGAATCTAGGTTTGTCTGATTTGAATGCCATGCTTTTTCCATAACGATGGTATATATTTGTTTATTTGTTTGTTTGTTTTAATATTATATTTATGTTTTATTTGAAAAAAAAAATTTTTTTTTAAATGTAGAAAGCATTTAGAACTGGTACAAGCACACGCCTGGATGATCGTGTATATGCCATGTGTCAGATAAAGTGTCAGCCACTTGTTCACCTAATGAAAATGATTCATCCCAACTTATACAGGATAGACAGATTGATGGATGAGGTATGATTTCTTTTAGTACATTTGAAGTTTTTAAATTTAAATATATTTGAATGCCTTGATTCTGTTGGTAAGATAGCAATGCCTTTATTAACAATTTTTAAATTCATTTTTCCCTTCTGTTATTAATACATTAAATAATGACACTTAGGATTTGATTGGATAAGCAAGTATTATCTGTGGTTATGGAGTTTTCGAAAATAGTTTCATGTGGGAAGTATTATTCCTTGTGGGATTGCTTATAATATTTATTATAAAGCCAAGTTGTAGAGTGGACGTTTCTGTATATATTTTATAGATATTGACTATTTCTAATATGATCAGAGTGCAGTTTTTATTATATTATAAACTGGATCTGATATCCATCAGTGTTTTTAATATACAAATATGTGGTGTGTGTTTTCTTCCTAGTATTAAAACTCTTTGGAACCTTCTCTGTATTGTATTATGTTTATAAAGAAATGTAAAAAAGTAACTTGCTTTGCAGCAGATTTAATAGTCATACATTTAATATATCCTGTCCCCCAAATGGAAAAAAATGGAGAGATTGTTTTATGTATTTGTGTTTCTTATTAATTTGAATACATCTGAATGTCTTTATTCTACAATCAAGGTAATTTTTAAGTATCAATAATTTTTTGCATCCTACAAAATCCTCAGGTGTTATTTTCAATATTTCATGAGGAGTTGGTGACATTAGTTTCCAAACTGTGCTGATAGCAATGTCAGCTCATTCACATTCCGTCTGTTTTTGTTGCAGGGTGCAATACATGTTAATGACAGGGTCGTACCTCAGCCACCTATTCAAAAATTGTCTGCAGAGAAGCTGACAAGAGAAGGTGCTTTCCTTATGGACTGTGGCTGTGTAAGCATCCTCTCCTGACAAAGCCTAACACTGTTCCAACAAAAGGAGAAACACAGGGCCTCTGCAGATTAGTCAGTGAAAGGTAGATTAGGAGCTGAGAGGCAATACATTGTAACTGGCACAAGAGGTCAATATATGTTAGACTTTTCTAGTTGAATATTATTTTATTATAGATTAATAAATGTTACCATGGATTATTTACTGTCCTAGATTATATATATATATTTGATACAGAACAAAGTTCCTGTTTTCAAGGATTTTATCATTAAACTCATAAAATTCAAAGGGGCCTTGAATTTGTCTAGTACAATTTATATCCATTGTAAGAAACGCCATTAATGATTACTTCAGGAGAAGTCACTGGGCAGAGTTGTGGTGAAGGGTGTTAGAATGGTCAAGTTGGCTTCATAAGTGAGACCTTATGAGCAGGAAAAGGATTCCAGTAGCCATAGAAGGGGGGATGGGAGAGCACATTAGTGAAAATAAGAGACAGTCACTGAAATAGTGGAAAGGAAATATTGTGAGCCAGTTATCCTGGTTAAGACATTACATTCATTCATATGGGACGGGGGAGGAAGAGAGAAAGTAAGATATATTTATGGGAAGCTTTGAAATTTAAGCAAAGAAGATAGGTAACACTTTTTAAGATTCCTGGATGTAGATTCTAACTGTACCAATTATATTTACTTTTTACTTTTATGTTTCTACTTTATTTGAAATATTTTGCCTCTTTTATTCTGGATAATTTTGAGAAAATAAAATAATGTGTTTCTGATTAAGGAATTTTAATATCTTGGTTTTTGTTTTTAGGTTTTTTACATTTGGGTTGGAAAAAGCTGTGACAACACCTTCATCGAGGATGTGCTTGGGTATCCTAACTTTGCATCAATACCACAGAAAATGGTCAGTGGGATTTTATACAGCTTGTTTTGTATGTGCTTGTTTGCTTGAAATATTTTTTATTGAGATAAAATATACGTAAGATTCACAGTTTTAACCATTTAAAATATGCAGTTCATTAGTTTTTAGTTAAATTCATAATGTTGTACAACTATCCCCAGGATCTAATTTCAGAGTCCCAAAAAGAAACCCATATCTCCCAATTCTCCCCTTCTTTCCCATCAACCACTAATTTCCTTTCTGTATCTATGGATTTGCCTGTTCTGGATAATTCACATAAATTGAATCATATATATGTGTGTGTGTGTGTGTGTGTGTGTGTGTGTGTGTGTGTGTGTGTGTGTATTTAATCAGAGTTTACCATATGACTACCATATATATAAATTTCAGAGAGGAAGAGATGAGAGATAGAAACATCAGTGATGAGAGAGAATCACTGATTGGCCACTCCCTGCATGTCCCCCACTGAGTGTCGAGCTTGCAACCTAGGCATGTGCCCTTGACTGGAATCAAACCAGGACCCTCCAGTCCTCAGGCTGACATTCTATCTGCTGAGCCAAACCAGCTAGCGCTGTGTTTACTTCTTGAGGAACTGACACACAGTTTTCCAACAACTTTTCCTTCTGATATAAATTATTTTGCTGATAACATTTTTCATTTGGCCTTTACTGTATATGTGTTAACCAATACCAAAGAAATATCATCATGAAATCAGTTCTCTACATTTAATTAATTGAAAAAGTCTTCCTTGCTCCTACCTTGGTTGGAGCATCATTCCGTACACCAAAAGATTGTGGGTTCAATTTCTAGTCAGGGCCCATATCTAGGTTGCAAGTTGGATCCCTGGTTAGGAAGCACACATACACACACGCACGCACGCACAGACACACACACACCCCAACTTCCTATCTCTGGATATATACTCAGGTGAGGATTTAAAAAAAACACAAAGATCTACCTTATTCTTTGATATTGTAAATATGTCATTTTTCCTGAAATTAATATAATGTCAGTATAATTTTTATCATTTTCTGCTGTCGTTTGACTCAAAAATGAGAGTAAGGAAATGTTTTTAAAAAGAATAATAGTGGCGGGGGAAAGCATATGAAAAATAAATCTCACTAAATAGGATAGTAAACATTACTTTAAAGCTGTAGATATTTAAACACTATGATACCAGCATAGTAAACATAAATGGAGAGCATTATGCTAAGTGAAATAAACCAGTCAGTGAAAGAAAAATACAACATGATCTCACTCATTTATGGATAATAAAGAACATTATAATACGATGAACAAAAAGATAGATAATCAGTAAAGCATCAAATAGACTGTCAAATTACAGCAGGAAGGTTAGGGAGAGGAGGGAGAGATAAGAGATCAACTGAAGGACTTGTATGCATGCATATAAGCATAACCAATGGACGCAAACACTGGAGGGTGAGGGCTTGTATGGGAGTGGGGTGGGGGAGGACAATGGTAAGATATGTACACATATAATACTTTAATTAAAAAGGGCGGGGGTGCAAGGAAAGAAAGAACTAAAAAAAAAAAAAATCTAATTCCTGAAAAATAGAATGTAGTAAAGGTTAATCCTGCCTAATAAGAGTAATATGCAAATTGACCATCACTCCAAGACACAAGATGGCCACCCCCATGTGGACACAGATGGCGGCCACAAGATGCCTGCAGAGGACAGTTGGGAGAGACCAGGCCAGCAAGGGAGGGCAGTTAGGGCAACTAGGCTGGCAAGGGAGGGCAGTTAGGGCAACCAGGCTGGCAAGGGAGGACAGTTAGCGGTGACCAGGCCAACAGGGGAGGGCAGTTCAGGGTGACCGGACCAGCAGGGACTTGGAGGAGGCCAGGTCTACAGGGGAGGACAGTTGGGGGGAACCAGATCTGCAGGGGAAGGCAGTTGAGGGGGACCGGGCCTGCAGGGAGGGCTGTTAGGGGGGACTAGGCTGGCAAGGGAGGGCAGTTAAGGACAATCAGGCCAGCTGGGGAACAGTTAGGCATTGTTCAGGCTGGCAGGGCAGTGGTTAGGGGTGATCAGGCTGGCAGGCAGAAGTGGTTGAGGCAATCAGACAGAGGCAGGTGAGCAATTGGGAGCCAGCAGTCCTGGAGTGTGAGAGGGATGTCCCAGATTGGAGAGGGTGCAGGCTGGGCTGAGGGGGACACACACACACACACACACACACACAGTGCATGAATTTTGTGCACCAGACCTCTAGTTAAGAAAATAAAATAACAGTACAGTTGTTGTTTTTTTTTTTTTTTTTACCAGATAGGCAAAGATTTTTAAATTTAATAATAGGCAATAGTGCAGGGGACATAGGTAAACAGTCCTATCAAAAACAGTACATTTTAGTGTATATTTTACATATTTTGGGGGAGTATTTGGCAATATTTGTTAAAATTAAAATCACACAGTTTATAATATAGTAAATTTTTCCACTCCAAAGAATATTTCCCTTAGATTTATTCATAAAAATACATTTTTTGTACAAACATGCTTGTAGCATTAAATATAAATGTTTGGGGAAATTCATATTAAAGCAAATGTTTTCTATTCTTTTACTTTTTAAATGTTGATATAAATTACAAATATAGCTAACCCAAACTTTTCTATTTAAATATTTTACATACTATATACTTTGAATTTTTTAGTACATTATTAAGTTCACTTTGGGGGGGGGGGGAAACTCACATATACAAAAGAATAGACTTTTGGGTCTTAACATACACGTAAAATGTCAGTATCATATTATTAAGCATTTTTTAATGACTTACCCAGAAATATATAAACAAACTTGCCAACAATTTAAGTTCCTTTGTTTGGTTGCTCCTGTTGGGACTGGGAATGGAGTGCTGGCAGTTGATTGGTAGTGGTGGGAATCATGATTTAGTGCTAATAGTACTGAAGTCTTTGAGAAAGGAAGTAATTTCCTAATTATATTTCTGTTACCAGACACATCTTCCAGAGCTAGATACACTTTTATCGGAAAGAACCATATCCTTTATAACTTGGCTTAGAGACAGCAGACCATTAAGCCCAGTCCTTTACGTGATAAAGTAAGTACTTCTATAACTTATCTATAAAATTGTCTTGTCCTATGCAATTTATGTAAAATTGCTTGTCTTCAAAACAAATTTAAAATATTATCAAACTGTAATATAGTGGTAGAATGTTGTTATTTGAATACTATTCTTTATGTTTCATTTTCCTAAAGTCCCTATCTATCATTGATTTTTCAAATGTATAATTATTATTGTTAATAATATGGATCTGTAGGTTAATACTCTTTTCTCTTTTTCAGAGATGAGAGTCCTGCCAAAACAGAGTTTTTCCAACATTTGATTGAAGACCGGACAGAAGCTGCATTCTCTTACTATGAATTTTTGCTTCACATTCAGCAACAGATTTGTAAGTGAAGTGGAATCAAAAGAAAAATTAGATAAAGCCTAATCTGCTGGAGAAGCCCATTGGAAATTTGAGATGAAGGCATTTGTTGTTACAAGACACAATGCATAGCATAGCACCCTGACTGAGGCAAAAGATAAAGAGGAAGCAAGAGCTGGCAGATTGTCTCAGCCTGAACTAATGGTAATGACGATGCTGTTTGACCAGGTATCTTTTGAGTTGGTTTCCACACATTTCCAGTAGTGCAGCAGTTGAGTGCTCTGTTCATTGCAAGCCAGCACATTCATTTAGCTAATGTGGATGATAGGTCACAATGTAAAATTAGATAATTTTTTTTCTTAGCGTTAATATGACATTTCTGGACTGGAACTCTGACAAGAAATGCCAAAAGGCAGTGGGCACCGTGTTATTTATATGAATTTTTAACAAGGAATGATTCGTATTCATTAAATGAATTCAATATTTTCCCTGTAAAAACAATAAGAGTTTCAGTACATGAACTATAGAACAATATATACATAATGTACATAAATGTTACATTTGTAAAGAAAGTGTAAAAATGTAACTACAGAATATGAATTGCTACAACTGTGCTGCATTGGTGGATGACAACTCTTTTTGTCGCAGTTAGAGAATGAAGTTGACTTATGCGTATTATGAATTGAGTCCACAGAAGAAACACAAACTCTTTGTAATTCTGTTAAATCTTTTATGTGGATTTATTTATGATCAGCCTACTAATTAAAAATATTTTGCTTGACAGTATGGTTTGGTGTTTTTTTTTTTGTGAGGGGAGGGAAGTGGGTGAGTTTTTAGGTGTTTTATTTTGTTTTTACACATAGGATAAACTGAATTCACTACTTGGGGGAAATGAAATGATACTGAATCAGTAAGTTTTATTCATTTGAACACCTTACCAAGTACTTTGTTTATATTCTGAAAAGGAATGATACTCTCAAAATACTTAGTTATTGATTAATTATAATCTTTATTTGTCTCAATTAAATTAGAGATATTTTTTTCTACAAATTTATATCAAGAAAATTTTCATAACATTTGAATATCCTATTTCATTAACTTTAAGATTACCATCTTGAATTTTCAGAGAGTTCTATTCTGCTGAGGAAAAAAATCATGTACTAATTGCTTAGTTACTGTAAAAACTGAAAATGCTCGATATTATTTTGTGGGATGGAATTTTATTTTATACATTACTATCTCCCATTCCCTCAGGCAACTGAGAGGTAAAATGACTCACCCTACATGACATTACTAATTAGTGACAGAGTTAACAGTAAAAGCCAAATATTCTCCCCACCCACCCCACTTCTACCTCCACCCAGGACTGTACTTGTTCCTATACCACTCTGCCTCTAGCAAGAGAGAATCTACTGAACATTAGAAAAAACTGTAGCACTTTAAGGGCAACTAAATATTGTAATTTTATAATGAAAAGTGTCATGTTTCTATTTTAAGAAAGACAAAAATCTTTTTTCTTTGGATATTTTGTTTGTCATTCCACAGATATTTATAAGCACTTAATACTTGTCAGATATTGTTCTAGGCATAAGACAGATAAAAATTCCACTTTCTCAGTGCTTACACTATAGAGCGAGGGTGGTTGAGTACTGGGGAAAACAATACATTTATGTATGTCAAGTGTGATGAATGCTGTGCAGACAAAGAAAGCTGGGTAAGGGAATCAAGAATACTTTATTCTAATAGTAACCAGAGAATGTCCTCTGAGAAGGTGGCAGTCGAGCAGAGCCTAAAACCACATGGGTATCTGAAAGAGAGCCATCCACGTACAGGTGAATGTGCAAGGTGCCTCTGGCTGCTCTTGTTTTCTCTGTGAAAAAGGCGGAGTTGTCCCCTGAGCAGTGGTCTCCTAGGAGAGGGAGACATTGGACTGATGAGTGGCATGAATTATGATTGTTAAGCAGCACTGAGGGCCTATCTTGGGATATGAGTCATGGACTTAAAAGTGAAGCCAGTTAGCATAGCTGTGTCTCTTGTCGCCAGCCACATTCAGCTGCTGAGTGCAGAGTTGATGTAAGCAAGGTTGCTACAAAAAACTGAGGAGCAAGGGAATGACTCATTTAAGCGAAAGGGACTTAAAATAAGTGATGAATAGAGAAAATAGGGCGGGCTTAATAGTTTAGAGGTCCTGTTGAGGTCAAAAAGCTCAAGCACTGAATCTCAGGACATGGGATGCTGGGAAATGAGGTTTTGAGGAAATTTAGATACTGATAATTATGAGATCGAGATCTAGGGGATGTCTGGGAGTGGATAGTTGAGGTGTTATGAAAGATGTCTGGAGGTGAGGAGGTCAGAACTTAGAATAAGGATTTTAGCTGGGTCATTTCTTTGGCCATTAAAATTGCCAGGAAAAATGACTAGAGAGTAGCAGCACTGAGAGCCTATGGGGACTGTGTATATGGGCCTATGGGGATGGGATATTACGTGGTCCAATGACACTGGCTCAGAACCGGAGGTAGGCAAGGAAAAAATAGTGTGGATGTCTACAAATGACCAGAGGGATGCCTGCCTGGAGTCTGATATCAAACACAGCCACCCTAGCCCGGCCGGCATGGCTCAGTTGGTTGAGCATCAACCTATCAACCAGGAGATCACAGTTTGATTCCTGGTCAGGGCATAATGCTTGATTCCCAATGTGGAGTATGCAGGAGGCAGCCAGTCAGTGATCCTCATCACTGATGTTTCTTTCCCTCTTCCTTCCTCTCTGAAATCAATAAAAATATTTTTTTTAAAAAGAAAACATTTATGTATATAATGACATTAAACACACACACACACACACACACACACACACACAGCCACCCTTGAAAGGTTTGCAAGGGAGTTAGTGTCTGCAAACAAGAGCCGTTGCAGAGTACGTGGAGACTGACTTCACCGGAATGTGGGAATGATGAGATTAATCCTAATGGGTGCAGGGCAATCAGTCTCATTGCTGCCCATGGGACAAGCCTCCAATCATTTGTGAAGCTGAGTGAGCAGAAGGGGCATGCTTACCAGGAGGCCTGTGAGCCTGCTTTCAATTATCTGTAATTGTCATCAAAGTCCGCAGTTCTCAGCGTTGATTGTGGAAATGGGATGAACATTTCCAGGTAGGGGGTTGACCAAAGAAGGTACATATTTTAAAAGAGTATCCCAGGTGCTCTTTGCCGCATCTACTGTGAGGATGAAGACAATTGGACTGTGGACATCCCAGAAAACATGGACATCACTCTAGGGGACACACAGTTTCTGTGAAGGGCCCAGAGGCACCCTGCAGAGGGACCTCAACCACATCAATGCAGAGCTCAGTCTCCTTGGCAAGAACAAGAGGCTCCGGGCTGACAAATGGGGAAATAGAGAGGAACTGGCCACGGCTCTCCCTATCTGCATTATGCACAGAACATGACCAAGGGTCTCACACTGAGCTTTTCACAAGGTGAGGTCTGTGTACACTCACTTCCCCATCAGCATTGTTATTCAAGAGATTTTCTTGTTGAATTCAGAAATGTCTTGGAAAAAAAATACCTCTGCCAAGTTTGGATGAGGTCAGGCGTTGCTTGTTTAGTATCTTAGGTCCAGAAAGATGAGTTGATTCTTGAAGGAAACAACATTGAACTTGAATCAAATTCAGTTGCTTTGATTCAGCAAGCCACAACAGTTACAAACAATATCAGAAAATTTTTGGGTGGTATCTGTGTTACTGAAAAAGGAACAGTTCTGCAGGCTGATGAATCAGATCTAAGTTGTCCAGCTATAGAAATACCAAGATGCCTGTTGATTTGTCACACGTATTTGCGATATTTAAAGATGCAATAAAGCCATGTATTGATTTGGGGGGAGGAGGGGAGGGTAGAAAGTATTCCAAGTGATGTGAAAACCTCCTAATATACGTATGAGTCCTATTCAAAGTAACTTTTGAAAATATTAAAAATAGTTTAAAAGGCCAAAAAAAAAAAAAAAAAGGAAAACACCACAGACATTATTTAGATGGAATCACTAATAACTGAAAGAAGACAGATGACTAAAACAATAGCAATCTGTGTGTGGCACTTGAAACAGACCTGAAAAATAAAACAGATATTTTATAATTTATCTTCTGTCCCTGAACTTAGAGGCAATCTGTTCCAACCAGCAAATTGGGTCTCCTTCTCTCTGCCTTCTTACAATACCCATGAGAAGTGGCACTTGACATGAAACTGAGTGGACAGGAAGTGTGTGTGTATACAGCCTGAGGGGGAGGGAGCCATGACTCCAGGCCACAAGAGGCTCTTAAAGCATTGCCTTCTGATGTGTCATAAGCTGATCCAAAAGTGAAAGCTTGGCTTGAGCTCAGCCAACCTGGGGTAGGCAAGGACAAAGGAGCCTGCATGTCTGCAAATGAGGAGCAGAAGGATGCCTGCCTATGGTCTGAGATCACACACAGCCACCCTTGAAAGGTATGCAAACAAGGTAGTTTAGTCTACCTCCAGTTTTTTCTTTTACCCACTACCACACTCACAACAGTTCACACACCAGGTATGTGGGAACTTTACCCACACCAAGCAATCTTCTGTGACACCAGCTGAGTATCCTACGATCCAACTCAATTCTGACACTATCGGAAGATGGCATCCGATCCCACAGGTCAGCAATCCCACAAGACTGCTCCCACTTCAGGTGCCAGTTGCAAGTGCAGGTTTGTTGCCTGTGTTTCTGACCAACAGGCTCTATCTAGATCAGGGGTTTCAAGGCCCCCAACTTCAGGTTTAATTGATTCACTGGAGTGTTGAGTAAAGAATACAGATGAAGAGAGACAGAATGAGGTTTGTTGCCCTAACCGGTTTGGCTCAGTAGATAGAGCGTCAGCCTACAGACTGAAGTGTCCCAGGTTCTATTCCAGTCAAGGGCATGTACCTTGGTTGCAGGCACATCCCCAGAAGGGGGTTTGCAGGAGGCAGCTGATCGATGTTTCTCATTGATGTTTCTAACTCTATTCCTTTCCCTTCCTCTCTGT